ATCAACACCTACCAATATTAGCAATGTTTCCATACTTGTGTCAAGCTATCAACACTTACCAATGTTAACAATGTTCCCATACTTGTGTCAAGCTATCAACACTTACCAATATTAACAATGTTACCATACTTGTGTCAAGCTATCAACACTTACCAATATTAACAATGTTACCATACTTGTGTCAAGCTATCAACACTTACCAATATTAACAATGTTCCCACACTTGTGTCAAGCTATCAACACTTACCAATATTAAGAATGTTACTTGACACAAGTATGGAACATTCTTAATATTGGTAAGTGTTGATAGCCCACACTTGCGCTTCAACATTAAACGAGCAGCAATTTTTGAGGTGATTATGGATCCAATTAGGTTAACATTAATAATTGAGTTTATGTCTTCTGGTACAGTCTGCACCAACAATCGATCAAGATTTATACCTACAGACACGAACAAGAAAATATCATAATACTGAAGGATTAAAAGTAAACATAACAAACATGTTTTAACATCCAGTCTGTGAGTCAATGAGATCGAAACAGGGATTGAGTGGGCTACATAGGGGTATCATGGTGTCTGATATTCAACTTAGAAACAAAAAATGTACTCAGATAGAGGGTTCAATCTGTTCATTTAAAAAAAAAAACGTTTAACTACCAAAATAATTAACCTCTCAATAGAATTTGTTCATGAAGTTTATGGAGTTGGCTAGATTGTGTTACTTTTACACAAAGTCAAAGAAATGTTTGTGTTCAGGCAGATAATGCACACAGTCACTTTACAGTGGCAAGTAAACTTCTACGAGTTCTCCTCAGCCACCTCTACCAACAGAACTCACGAAAACTGCAGAGGAAATTACTTTAAAGAGCTGAGGAACGAGATTGCGTATTTTGAAATGTGTGGGAATATGAATGAGGGTATGGGTTTTTTACTCCTTTAGCTTCCAAATTCTACAACTGGTGAGCAATTCAGATTCCAGGTATCATAAGAAATTAAAATCTCTAATCAGAATTTAAAAAAAAAAGAATACTTAAAAGCTTTGTTTGGGGATCAACCCACCAAAAAATGTATCCCTAACTTACAGACTGGGTGTTAAATCTAAATAATCATTATATCCATAATATAACTATAATAGTAACATCATTCAACTAATACTTAAAAACGTTAAACTCAATATTTTCATCAATCTTTCACGGGCACAGGTTCCTAACTGATAAGCTAATTGAAATGTATGTCCTACTAAACTATTTATGTTACCATACTTGTGCAAGACATCTTTGTAATTTAGTGATATCAACATCCCATGACAAGTTTTATAATTTATCTAAAAAATATATTTTTTGTATGAGCTGATAAAGAATTCCATTTTATACTTTATACAAAATATTTTCCAACACCCCCAAAATGTGGGTAAAAAAAAACAGCATTAACAATAGCTATGACTTTTTCTCTCAAAATATTACTATTTCATGAGTATTTTGTTATTACAAAATTAAATACTTGACTGTTTTTCAAATATAATGAAATATGTTACATTCTAATAAATGTTTTTAAAAATGAGATGTTTTAGTAAACATTTCAGAAAAGGTAGCAGAAGCTTATACTCAGTTTGGAAATTGTGGCAGTCCTCCAGAAGCTTGGTATGCAATGTTAAAGAAATAATATCACAAATATTTCTCCAAATATGGGTAAAAATATTTCTTTAATCAATGTACCCTACTAAGTTCTTGACCTACTGCATAAAATACAAATAAAGTCACGACCTGCTAAGTTAACTCAAATGAAAACCAGACCCTACCAAGTTCATGGCTACTTATAACCCAAACGAAATCATGACTAATAAGGTTCATGACATATTAAATATAACTGAAGTTAAAACATGACCCTACTAAGTCCATGACCTACTACATAAAATACAAATAAAGTCATGACCTGCTAAGTTAACTCAAATGAAAACCTGACCCTACCAAGTTCACGGCTACTTATAACCCAAACGAAATCATGACTAATAAGGTTCATGACATATTAAATATAACTGAAGTTAAAACATGACCCTACTAACTCCATGACCTACTGCATATCATTCAAATTAATTCATGATTTAGTGCATATAACCCAAATGCAACCATGACCCTATTAATTTCACAATCTACTTCATATATCATGATTCTACTAAGTTCACGAACTACTACATATAACCCAAGTGTAGTCACGAGAACATGAAGCTCACATAAAAATTTACCTGCACAGTTAACGACTACTCTTAATGGTCCCAAGGTCTCTTCTACTAACTTTAAACTTTCCTGCACTATTTTTTCATCTGTTACATCACACTGTGATCCTTTAATTCCTACCTTATAGTAAAAATTCAAAATAATAAACCAAAGTAATTACAATATTAAACATGTTAAACTCAAAAAATATTCAGAAATATTTAAACAATCAGATGTAAAAACAAACATTTTAAAGATATTTACTTATGAAGATGATAATTACATGAACAATAACATTTGAAACATGTACATATATATATATACATTTCTTATAAAACTTTATTTAAACAAGCTTATTTTGGCTGCTGTATCATCTTTAGGAAACACTGATATTATCGTTCAAGGTCTTATTATTACAGATCTTAATAGTTTACCAATATTAAATAGTTACTACACTTTCATGAGAGCAAAAGTCAAAATCCTTTTCTTAAGATTTTATTAACAACCAAATATTTTTGTTAAGTACTTTTGATTCTAATGTACAGTACAGGCTGAATTCAACCACATACAAACGTAATAACTGAAATAGTTAAGAATTTCAACCTTCTATAGCTAGTTTAGAATAGATCTTTGGTCGGGAAGACTTTGGTAAACTTTTTTTGTGCAACTGTTCTGCATGTAGTACGACTTTTTTTTTAACTGAATGTTGAATTGTCATAAAATGTACTAATAATTTCACTCAGTTAAAGGTTACATACTCCAATGACTAGAAATTCACATAATTTTGGTCCTGATCTGTTTTTTCTGGGGAGGGGTAAGTAATCTCAACTGTTGACACAGATACTTGTACAAATTGGTAAAAGATAGTTCTTTTTCATTATAAATGTTGTTTGGTATAGTTGATTGCATGTGCAGCATTGGATTCTGGTATTTTAACATTTTTGTATGAACTTGGAGCAATAAATGAAAAATTCTTCGTCCTTGTCGTGTGCAGGTATAAATTGAAAACAAAAATATTTCTAGGTCCCTGTTACTATTACAAAGTATTATATTTAGTAAATAATATAGATGTGCAAGTTTGAGATATAACAACAAAAACAGTACTTTTTTTTAAATGTTCATTGCATTTGCAACAGAAAAATAGGCCTTATGATATGGTATATTTTACTAATAGTAATAGCAATACTATACAATTCAGTCCTCGAAAAGTACACTGTACAATAAGAAGCATGTAATCGTAATGCAAATTTTTTTGAAGTTACACTATATTGACTGTTGTAATGCCATTTCAGCACACAATACGTACTGAATATGCATTTTCTTTCTCTAATTCAGTAATAGCTTCCTCACGTTTACTGTTGTTACGTGAAAGAATAGCTACGCTAAACCCTGAACGAATAAATCTAGAAGCAACTGCTCTGCCAATCCCTTGAGAACCACCAAATACTGCGGCAACAAGAGTCATAGTTGTGTAGCACCTGTTGAAGAATCTATACTCTCACTGTTTGAAAATATATTTAAAAGCTTGAGGCGTAGCAATTTTGGGTTGGGAGCAGAGAAGGTGGGAGGTAAAATGCGATCTCGGAACCTTATGGCAACAAGGCTTAGCAAACAAGAAACAACAACAAAAACGAAAGTATTATGTAAATACACGACACTACTGAGCTGTTGACAGCAAAGTGAAAGAAAAAAAAATCAAAACATATTCAAACATTCATTTTTTTTTCTTTTACGATTAACCAGCTTTAAGTTTCAGCAAACCAACTTTTACAATCGAATTCAGTTTGTGAAAAATAATAATAATACAAGTATATATAACTGAAAATTTAAAACGCAGTCTTAACAAGAAATAAGTACATTACGATATTTTGAACACATGCTACTAACATACTATATTTTTAGTGTAGCTAATAATGCACGGTAATGAAAAAAATAAAAAGTACATACTGTCAGGGGCGGATTGGCCTTTCGGGATACCGGGACTTGTCCCGGTGGGCCGATAGT